CAGAAGCAGGAGACATTTTGGGATAGGTACCCGACTCTGACCAGAGGGTGCGATAGAGGCAAATATCAGGGCGGCTTTCTTCTTCGAGAAAGCCGCCCTGATATCCGCCTGTGTCCAGTTTCCCAACCCTCGTGATAAAGGATTGGCCGCCTTATTGCCAGGGTATCCTGAACGCGCGGGTGCACCCAGACGTGCGCGTCGCTGCGGGAGGAAGAGGGTCCAGGGTCAGCATGTGGAGTGTGCAAGGATGAACTCAGCCCTTTGAATAGTTTAACAATGCAGTTTTAAATGCGGAGCATTTCTTATTCGCATGATGTCATGCTTCGTGCATCGCTGTCTACACCCCCACTGCGCATGCTCGCGCCTCGCGTATGGTCTGCGTGCTCGCGTCTCGTGCCAACTGTTTACCCCCGTTTTTTTTTTCTCACCTGACAAGGTCGACGCAGGCAGCGTCTGCTAGTAAAACCGACTGCTCGAGCTGCACAACCGTTCACCGTAGACACCCCGTATATGTGGGCACTGAGTCGCACATCAGCATCCCACCACTCATTGAAAGCAGCGCTTCTCCTTCATTCAATAAATGAGAATAATTAATTATGAAATAACAATTAAGCATTCCCAAACCATACCAAGTTATGCAACATCACGTGATACCCCCCTCGCACTCTGGGACGCATATACTCAAGTTCCCCCCTAGGGAAGGGGGGGCGGCATTTTTTTTAATCACTTAGACTATAGGTAGCATCAAAATTTTCGAGCAGTAGTGCAACAGCGATTTCTTTAGCTTCTTATGGTTTTGTTCTAGGATGTAATTTTTCTATTAACGAATGCTTGTTTGGTGTATAGGCCATTGCTATAACGGAAACGCTCGCTGACACATCGACGCGCTCAAGTGTCTTTCTTTTGAGCAAATTTCTAAGGAACGTTTCTTAGGTGCGTCAATAATACCCATGAACCCCACCTAAAAAGAGAAATATGGCGTGTCTGACTTTGCTGTGTCTAATCACTAGGTTGTGTTCTGGCGCTGCCGTCACATATCGTAAACTGCATTGCCAGGTTCGTATACAGTCTGCGCGCTGCACTCAGTCAGCCAGAGGGCATCGTGAAGCATAACCTCGTAAAGTATGCAGCGTATAAACGTGGGTGTTTTGTATTGAAGTATTTGTGCTTGAATTATGGCTATTTAGGAGCACTTTAAAGGGCCACTCACCAGGCTCCATACCAAATTTTTGTTAGACAGTGGAAGTTGTTCGGGGTCTTATGAGGAATATTATGCCACAAAAATGTTTCGAATCCGTTCATGACGAGTAGAGAAAACAGGTTTTTTGGAGCGGCACGAAAAGAGGATGAGAGGAGGCGAGCTCGAAACCCTTGCCGCTCCTCCACGTAGCCTTCGCAAGCCAAATATCTTCCCCACTTTCGCCAGCATCTGACCAAGAGGTGACGTGCGCATGACGTGCCCAAACAAGTCCAACCCCGAGCACACGAGCGGCGTTGCTTTGTTGACCAGCGTTATTTTGTGGTCTTGTGCTTGTTTCTGCGGGAACGTTTGGAAACGCTGGCTTAGACGCGGTAAAATATATGAACACAATAAGTGCGCGAACGCGTAGGAGCGTTCCACGGCGGTCGTCTGCTCCATGCGCTGCCCGCGGGGAAACGAACGCATGCGAAACACCGACACATTAGCCCCACATCTTGTTGCAGTTCGCGGGAGAAAAAGGGAAAAAAGACTATCACATTCTCTTATTGCGTCTCATTATTTATCTAGAGCTTTATTGATCTTTTCAAGGAACAAAAACAAACTATGCATGCCGTGTTAAATAATTTTCGCCATATCACGTGCCATTGTCTGCAACGTCAGAGCAGAGTCGTCTGTGTAGAGGACCAACGTCACTGCATTGCCATGTACGTAGGACTATTCATACGCCCACGTCATGCTCTCTTTTTCTAGGCGTGCGCCGGCAGAGGGGAGAAAGAGCAGCGTTCATCTTGGAATTTGAACCATTTCCGCAGCGCGTAGCAATGCAAATTTTGGGAGACGTGTTAATGAACGCCTCGTCTATGCATTGCGCTTGTCAGCTCAAAATTTGTCAAACCTGGTGAGTGGCCCTTTAAGGAACTATAAGCTGTCAAAATGAATCCAGAAGCTCTCACTACAGCTTGCCTCATCTTATCATGGTCTTGGTAAATAAAATCCAAGCAGTTCTGTCGCTGCCCAGAAGTCAGCCAATTTCAAGTTTATGCTAGTAAGCACAATGTTATTGTGACAAGCTTCACTATGCTCACTATTATAGCCCATTGTATTTTTCGTCACCAGCTGAAAAACCAAGAACGTCTATGAAGCGTTCCACATTGCAATTTGAGCATTACAGTCCGCAGCACACGTGATTGCTCTTTTATTAATTGCCCATTACGAAAGCTGAAAGGTTTCACAACTTTGCTCCAACAAAATCTATTGTACTTCAGTTCCCGCACGCGCAAGCAGTTGTGGGAAAAAATGACGACGAAGCTCGGCTTGCACATTGCCGCGAGGCATGTTTTCGTTCTATCACCGCATCATGGCTTTCATTTGTTGCCGAATGGCGGGGATGCCACTGTAGCTGAAAGTTACGAATAGACCAGCTCCATATGTTTTTAAGCAGGGGTAGGCGTCATCGATATATTTGGGGCCTTTGAGGCGACGTTGTCGCTCGTTGGTTCCGCCCAGCCATGCCAGCTCACTAAATCTCACTAGAGTTCCTGTAAACGCTACCTTTAGGTAGCAGAGTTCCGCAACGGTTTGCCATCTTGCCCGCTAAGAAGTCCATGTCATGCAGGAAAGCCATCTCTTCTTAATGTTGGAGCCGACACAGCCCAACGACTGTGCGTTTCTTGCTCGTTCATATAACCTGTCGCAGACCCACTTGCTTTCACTTCGAAGAAAAAAAATAGAACTCTAATAATTAATGGCCTTAGATACTGGTGCTATAGCTTGTTTGGTAACAGTCTCAATAGGAAGATATTTTTGTTTTGAATAGCAAACAAGAAAGCCTTAACTTAATTTGTTGAGAATCTTGTGCACGATTCTCAACAAATTAAGTTCCGTATATCACTCGTTTCATGTAGTTTTTAGCTTATTTAAGCGATTAAGTAGAAGGTGGCTTGAAAATCCTATTGCTAGCGTTATCTTTCCGTGTTTTGCAAATAATGCAAGCAAACGAGAATTTTCCCCAGATCTCTACATAGCTGTGGCTTAAAGTGAACGCTCAGTGAGGCTTCAATTGCGGTGCCGCACAGTGCCCAGATTGATTTATACTGTTTTGATAGATGTGTAAGGTGAATGTTCAAACATTCACTCACGCACAATCTTATAATTTCTTACCGTGCGATGTATGTCAACGAGGGCATGCAAAAGGATACATACCCTGTTTGTTGTTATCAACTCTAGTCGCAAAAATATCGCCATCAGATTTTTAAGTGCACTTCATAATCGCACGTCACTCATGGTGCTGTGTTCCACAGACACCACTAACACTGCTGTTCACTAAAAACAGACAACACAATCACAACACCAACGAAGCAGTACTTTCGCACTCAGCGGGATTGCCTCGCCGGACTGCTTGGGTAGTGTAGCGGTCATAGAGAAACGTACTTTCATCAAGAGAGGACACACCCATAGGACCCTGCGGCTGAGCTACTGCGCTGTTCTCAGTGCCAGGAGTGGCTGGTCAGACTTGATAACGTATTCAGCATAAATAAAATACCAAAAATTTCTTGCCGATGCTAGGATTTGAACCCAAACTCTCATGCTCCGAAAGCGAGTGTCTTTACCACTAGGCTACACACCTAAGCCTCCGCAAGGGGAATGCATGTACAGTGCATCTAAACCAAATGAATGTGCACCCTTTGAGCAAAACATATGCAGAATGACAACACTATCAGGACAGACTTTTATTTTTGAGGTAGGCATTAAATGTCCTCAGCTTGACACGATGAAGAGCGGATATGAAAAATTGCGCAAACAAATAAAATTTCTTTTTTGCAAAAATTTGATGCCAAACTTGTGTTTTTGTTGCCCTTCTGAGGTGGCTATTACATGTCTTGACAAAGGAGTAGAAGCGAGCATATGTACATTATTTAGCTGTTGATTGGAACTTTCCTTGCTCGGCCACGAAAAGGCTCCAGTGGCTACTCTTTATATAGTATATTTCTCTATGTAGCAGTGGTGGTGACGCAGCAGTCGCCAGCACCCGCGCGGCCGTGAAGTTGTCTTTCCCTGAAATTCATTGCTCATGTGATCACGCTTGGCGAATGGGGGCGCGAACGGCAAGTTCTATGAGAGGCGCAACTATGCAACCTAAAAGTAGCATTTACAGTAACTTCACAGTTCGCTACTGCCCTCTATGATCCCGTGAGGACTGGCGCAAGAGGTTCAAAAGCTGCCTCCGAGCGTTGAGGTGACTCCCCAAAGCAGCTGTTGCAATAAAGGAATGCAGTGGCTTCAAAGGGGACATATTAGCTATGTTCGCCTGTATAGCTCTAGCTCTGAAAATCTCATGAAAACGTTAGGTTGTGCCCGCAGTAGTTCGGCCGCTGTACTTCCTCAAAACCGTTGTCGTAATAATGATACGCATCCTCTACGTTACACCTTTGGCAGCCGTTTCTTGACCTTTCCACTTACAGTTATCGTGGCAAGCCTTGAAGTCTAGCCAGGCTGTTTTTCCAGACTTTTAAATAAACATCGACTAAGCTGTTCCCTGCAAAAATTCATCCTAATATTTCTAGCAAGCGCGAAAAGATTCTGCTGTTGTCCCTTTATTGTAATGTACTGGTGCCTACACCCTTTTAAGCTCTACATAGCAATGCGTATATAGTGTGAAATACTATTTATATTTTTGCTTAATCAGCATTTAAAACATCTGAAAATGGTACAAGTTGCCTACATGCGAACATAAGCAGGCTCTCAGTATAGCGCTAATTTGCGTTGCGCAGGTTGAAACTTGGCTGGCTCTGTTGATCCTGCTATGGAGGCAATACAAGATCTTTCTGCAGAACATGAGCAACCGACTGTGGCTGCCTCGGCAGATGTGGTCGACGATATGACCAGCTTTTTTGGTGGCCAAGAGGAACTGCGATGTACTTCCGACAAGCCAACCGCCTTTAACGACAATCGAAGCTGTCCTATCAACGACGTCCTCCCCATATGCAACGAGCTACTCTTTGACATCTGCATGGAGCTTCGGGAAAAGCGTGGTGGCTTGTTGTCCTTAGTTTGCTTTCCAACTGACGAACCAAAAAGAATTCCTCCTCGAAACGTTGACTGCCAGCGTTCGAAAAAGTCTCTTCTATGGCTGCTGCGAACCCATGGATGCATTGAAAAGCTCAAATTGCGATGTAACTGGATGACAGTTCACAGCTGTATATTGCTTGAACTGACCGAATACTCTCGCCTGAAAAGGCTCAAGGTGGATTGTCCTTGTGGAGACACTGTGAAAAGAAATATTGTGACACTCCTGTCCAGACTTGTCCATCTAGAAGAACTGCATGTCTACGTGTCTGAGAAGTCGGACATTCTTGTGGCTGCCATATCGGCTCTGCTGAGAAACACCGCCTGCCTTACTTCACTCGTTTTCCGAGCACATTCTGAGAACCAGCTGTCACAGACATTTATTCATGCCCTTGCCACAAACTCGACACTGGAGTACCTCGAAATATTGGGGAAATGGGACACCGCAGAGCCACCAGGGCCCTTCTGGTCATACGTCAAAAGTAACGAATTGCTCTCAAAACTGTACCTTTTCGGAGAAGAACTCGATCATGAAGGGTCCTTGCTTGAAGAGGCGCTGGTTTGCAATTATCATATCTCCACGCTTTACATTCATAAAGTTTGTGGCGGTGAAAGAACTGTAAATGTTTTGACCAGGATACTCGCAGAATGTATTAGCCTAAAGAATCTCACTCTCGGTGACTCACGTGACGAATTTAACATTATATCAGAGGCAGCACTAAACGGCTGCATGAATGTCCTGGTTGTAAACAACACACTGGAAGAACTCGAGCTTTCGTATTCCCTGTGGCATCCAACGAACTGGATCACTTTCTTGGCATTTTTACCCAATAACAAGCATCTCAAGACACTAGAGGTTACTAGCTCGTTCTACCCTGATTACAAAATGTATCTGCCTGTTCTTGAAGCTCTACAGCAGACAAATTCGCCAGGACGCATTTCTTTCGGGTGTTATATGCCCACAACAGTGGAACTAGACCTTTTGCGCTTCCGTGCCTTTTCAGGCGTTTGTATTGAAGGAGCGTTGAAAGAGAAAGTAGATACTTTGCAATCACTACTCACATTGAATCACCTAACTTCCGTCGTAATAGATTCACGTGAGTGCGATCAACAGTTGTTCGACTGTATGGCCAAGTACATTAAAGAAAAAACTGTGTTACGAGGAATAATCCTTTTCATATCGAATACAGCGGGAGATGCACCCGCAGCATGCTGGGAGCCCCTCTTCGAATCTCTCTCGTCAAACACCAGCATCAGATATCTCAGGATTATTGTACGCGGCCACTTCTCGTATGCTGGCCACCTCGCTCGTGCTGTCGGGCGCAGCAGGTCCATAACGCAAATGTTCTATGAAGAGTATCGACCAGAATGGGACCCCAGTGGCTTCCTTTCACCATTGTCCAGGGAACTCGACGAGAACTACAATCTCTTAGAAGTCTCCCTCTCCAACACTGCTAAAATGGATGCCGAAACAACGTGCTGCTGGTTCAAAGTCAGGGAAGTGTCCAGAAGGAACTCTGGCCTGGTGAAACGTGCTGGTGCCGCCATTCAGTCTCCTACACTCGATTGGTCGGTCTTGCTTATGTTTTCTTTTACTGGGAAGTGTGTCTTGCAGTGCAGTGGGTGTTGCAGTGCTATTGTTGGTATGGATGGATGCTATGAGTGGCACCAACAATTGGGGGTAAGGTCGCCACCTGTGAGTGTTTTAATGCATTGACAAAATTACACTTCTTCTATTGGAAACGCACCGAATGGGATGGCCCCTTAGAAACAAAGCGTTGAAGAAACTAATCGTGGATGTCATGGTCATGATACAATACTGCACTCTACCAAGAACAATGTCAGAGGGCCGTAGTAAACATAAAGGGTGTATTTTTAACGCCTACAAAGTATGCGACCATGGCACAGTTACCTCTGGCGCTAAAAGCATTCTTTTAACTTGTTTAAGAATATTCTATCCTCTCCTTGCACAGTATAGCTGGTAATATATATATATATATATATATATATATATATATATATATATATATATATATATATATATATATATATATATTTATATATATATACTGTCGCTCATTGCCCATTAGCAGAGATTTACATGTTCTGGTAGGAAACACTGGTCAATCACTGCATGCTTTAAACCTCAAGAGGTTTCTCTCCTCTGCAATGAGCGCCAGCGTCAATGTTGCGGCCAGTGTAAGCATTAGCACCCGCAGGTTCGCATCTACAAATGGTTTTCTTTAGCGAGAGATGGTCTAATTTTTTGGCTTGTTTGACGCTTGGTGCATGCTGACAGTTCCCGTTATTTGTAAGTAAATGTTATTTGCATCATCCTTATCATATCAAATAGGTACGCCGCCAACGCACTGGAGAAAGTTTCGCGGCGGCCAGTTCTTGTAAGAGAGCTCGCCGAAAAAGAGGGCCTAGCTGTGGACGAAGTGGCCAAGATGCTACGAAGCCGTCTCGTGAGCGTCGACGGAATGAACGACTTTATGAGACTGACCGGCGTCGTCAAGAAAGCAGTGATGTGTGCGCCACCTGTCGACGGCTGTAACTTTCAAATTCAAGACCTGAATGTTGACTGCTGGCGCTTGGTGAGGCGTTACCTGAGCTTCGACGATGTGAAGCGCTGCCCTGTCGCTAAGCCGGACGACCCTATGGCTGAATAAAGCAGAAGCAAAGAGTGAGCCAAGGGCAATAAGTACATTATAACCACTATTCTCTATTCTGAGTGGTTTCTCCAGTGTTACAAAATGCAGGTTGTACAGCAATGTGTGTATGTGTATATATATATATATATATATATATATATATATATATATATATATATATATATATATATATATATATATATATATATATATATATATATATATATATATATATATATATATATATATATATATATATATATATATATATATATATATTCGGACACTCTTCTTGAGTTCACATGTAATTTAAAGCTTGGCTGTAAGCGACTGCACATCCGTTTTTGGCTTCATCTATTTCGATTTATCATTTTTTACCTCAGCAAAAGTCTCAGTGTTCTATTATTATATTGTTGCTATTGCATTAGTGAATTTAAGGGTATGTGGCATTATATGTATTAGCATATTAGTTTTATTTCTTCGTGCACTGCAGTGCACGCATGTCCATATTCTGCTTGTATACGCAAATAAAAGTGAATTTGTGTGACTTTGGAGAGGTCAATTGCTGTTGTATGCAGTTCGTCTGCACTGCCCTTCAACCCCAATGAACCTTTGGCAGACCAATTTTTTATCGCGTTGTTGCTCTGAAAATGTCATGAAGTATCAAAGTTACTATTAATCGGAATCGGTGTTCCTTGCATCCGATAACTTGTTGAAATGTGGTAGCGAGATGAAGGTAGTGAAATCTCAGGCTGGTATTTTCAGGCAAATTCAAGCAGTAAAGAAAATTAAGGTGGTTTCAGTCAAAATGGGGGGAAGGGTGATTTGCTTGATTTAGGCCATATGCTCTGGCACTGCTCGGCGTTAGTTGATGATGCCTTTCAACCTAAACAGTGGTGCAAATGGATGTAGTACAGTGACCTGCTGGCGGACAACTGCAGGACTGTCCAGAGAGTCCACAGAGCGACTTATTGGGCGAGTTGGCCCGGACGCTATGCAGCCCATATTTATTATTTCGCGCTAAAAGCTACCAGAGCGCCCGCGCGGTGGAAGAGGGGTGTTGTCGTTCTGTTCCAAAGTGGGAGCAGGCAGCATCAGTTACGGGCAGATCCTCGGTACCACAACCAAGTAGTTACTACCATACCCTCGCAATAGGGGTACAAAGCATTAAAGAACTGTTAGACTGGGTGGACTTTCTTGTTTGTTTTTCTTTCTGCCGCTCTGTCTTCTCTCTATCTCACCCTATGCGTCTCGCTTTCTCCTTTCTAACCCCCCTCCTCTATTTCTCGCTTTTTATATATTTGTTTTCTTTATTTATCTCTGTTTCTTGCTTCACCTTTATATTTTTTCTTTTCTTTATACCCATTTTGTTTCTTTTCAATGCTCTCGCATTAAAACTGGCGAGATTGGTAACAAGCACATAAATAAAGGGAAAGGAGACAACCACCCATTTGTACCACGAAGCGACAAGGAAATCCAACTGAGAAATACATATGGCCTTCCTAGTGGCTTCATGCTACAAATGGGTGGTTGCCTTCTTTCCTTTTCTTCACCCTTCCGCCACCTCGGGGGTTTCCACAGAACTCATTTGTAGTATTAGGCACATATGCAGTTGCCATCACTTCACTGAAGCTATTGCATACAATTGCACCTTTTTCACAACTACATATACTGGGATTTCCTAGTTAACGCTGGGCTTTAGAGTGGCAGCACTGAAGCATAGGGGGTGGGGGGGTGTAACAAGAAGGTGGTTTAAGCGAGAGCGGGTGAAGCAGTCAACGCCCCAACTATCTGGCTCCAGTCAATGCCACAGGCTATTGAAATTTACATGTGAAGCTTTACACATTTTCAATGGAGAAAAGAAACAACCCCTTAAAAAATAACAATGTCCTGTAAGTGTACTGTATAGTTGCCCGAGGCAACATGAAGATGCAACCTGTATGCTTCCCGATTGTTGCAATTTGGCGGCCGCTTTTATGTCGACTCAAGGTGTCGTCTTGTATGTTTCCCATATGTTTTGATTTGGCCGCCGCTTATATATCGCCTCAAAGTCTCCGTCCTGTATGTGTTCTGTAAGTAGCCACCTTTTGTGCAGACCAGAAATCGGGCCCTTTGCACGGTCTGCAAGATGCAGCATAATATGGCTGCTATAATTGAGTTGTGTATAGATATGCATACAAATCTCTGTGAAACTATTCATTTATTAACATTTACACTACAGTTTAGAGCATTATACAGGCAATATCAAAACAGGAAATATACATCTGTCGGTGGCTGAAGAAAGATAAGATTAAGAGATCAGCCTTTAACTCCATGAAGCTTTCCTATATCATTAACATTTTAAAAGTTTTATTTTTCACCATCTTTTTATGTAATAGAGACTACGTTCATTTATCAAAAACACATTCTTCACAGCAGTGATTTGTAATCACTAGGCAATATTTAAGGCATTCGAAACACTATGGGCTACTTAGATAAGTTCTGCAGACCTAAAACGCCATCTGATGCACGATGTGCGGAGTATATAACAGTGACTTGTTCGGCTTTACAAGCTAATAACAAATTTATGCAGACTTACAGAGTATAAAAAAGGAAACATCGTAACTTCAACACTAACTCTTAATACATGCGCCAATCATTAAATATTGCACAAAATTAGGAATTTGATAAACATCAACACACACTACCCAGAGCTGCTCGAAACGCGTGCTTGATAAATTGATTAAATATTGCAGTAAATTGGGAATGCGAAAAATGCAACTTCAGTGCACTAGCAGAGATGCCTGGTTGGCACCAAACTGCTGTACTTGACATGCATCAGTGGAAGCACGACCACAGCCGACAACCAGTGTACCCTTCAAGTAACCCTTGACTGCTGAACTGAAGGTCGTGGAATCAAACCCCGGATTTGGTTGCCGCAATTTCTATGAACGAAGAAATGCTTGAGACCTGTCGGCTTAGACATGAGTGCATTTTTAAAACCCCCAGATTGTCGAAATCTGAGTTTGTTTATGCTCTTAGATATTCCATTCCAAAGTTTATTTTGTTTTTCATGATTACGCATGCTAGGCAATGAGGGTTAACAAAATAATACTCCCTAGCAGGATGAGCAGTCGGTTCTTGCTATTGCCAGCCAACAGTGGAAGGGTAACTATTATAATGTTTGCCCACGCCTTCGACACATGGTCAGATTACATGTATCGCATCAGGGAGTCTGTGCTAGTGGTAACTGTCCTGCATACATAATGATGCAAGCCGCAACTAAATTTTCCGGCAGGATAATTTGAGCACAGGCATGCAAGAATACTTACAAGTGAAGTTGTGTAGAAATGTGACAGGCTCAAATATTTAACACATACATGACCACTTGCTGCGATCATTATTAAGTTCATTAATAAATTTTGCTCAACAGCAGCGCTAACAGTGACTATTGTTGTCTCACATTGCGTCCCCCTTGATACAAATCTATCTGCAAATGTGGGTTCTGCAAACATAACTTGCAGCGCTGACTGTTTTAAAGAAAAAGAAAAGGGTTAATTTTGAACACCTTGAACGTTTGTGCCCCTTGAATACACTTACGAGGTGTGGCCTTGTGCAGTTTTCTTTCCACAGGAAACGGAAACCATGCGCAGCTACCGTGCACCAGCAGCCAACTATTCCTAAAGCCAGCATTGATGACAGGCTAGTACAGACGTCTTCCAAACTCTCTTGGTATGATGAGAATGTATAGACTGCAATGGAAACAAAATAAAAACAATTTACTGACATGTGTCTGTTAGCAAATCTGAATTTCGCACTCTTTTTAGAATGATTAGAAACAATCTGTCCTTAAAGAGCAGGATGTACAAAAACGACATGTTACAAGAAAAACTTTCTCAATGTTCTTTTCAAACACAGCTGCAACCTTACGAAAGAACATGCAATTTCTACATTACAGATGTGTCACAAATTATGCTTGAATGGCGCTCCTGCATTGTGCGTATACATGCCGATACAGTGATGCGACTGCACATACATGATGGTATGCACTTTCATCAAGCATTCATTGCAGGTAACGTAAAATAAATTATGAATTTTATTTTGAACACAGCTAATGTTCTTTATTCTGGCTGCTTACGTTGGTATGATTATACTATAAGGGGGTTTATTTGCTAAAACCAACTGCCTCGTATAAGGGGTGTTGGTCACTGTCACGAGCTCAGCTCTTCGTCCTAGTCGTTTTCTAGCTGCTCCGACGAAATACTGTCTCTCTTCCTCTTCTCCACTACATTTGCCCCGGTGGAAAGAAGAAGAGGGATCCTGGCGACTTTCGGCGAAGTAAGCACAAGGCGATCATAGTAAGGTTTTAAGTAGCTGAAGTGGAGTGTCTCATGACCACGGCATCACCTGTCATTGGCAGGTGTCACTGGTTCGACGACGTAGTTGACCGGTGATGTGCATTGAAAGATGCGGTACAGACCATTGTACTTGGGTGCAAACTTTCTGGAGAGGCCGGGGAACTGGAATGGAACCGAAAGTCGCCCCGCCGTGCTGGTCTAGTGGCTAAGGTATTCGGCTGCTCACCGGTCGCGGGATCAAATTCCGGCTGCGGCGGCTGCATTTCCGAAGGAGGCGGAAATGTTGTAGGCCCGTGTGCTCAGATTTGGGTGCATGTTAAAAAACCCAAGGTGGTCGAAATTTCTGAAATCCTCTACTACAGCATCTCTCATAAACATATGGTGGTTTTGGGACATAAACCCCACAAAAGCCATACAAGTTAGCCTACAGGGAAGCTGTAAGTAGGCTTGTCTTGGTCAAGTCATTCTTTTTGGAGACCTTGTGCGACGGACTAAATGAACGCACTGAGTGGTGGCACTCTTCAGCACACTCAATAAGTTCGGAGGCTGACCCCAAGAAACACAAAATGTCTTATAGACTTCTCGAAACGACTAGAAAGGTATGCGGACATCTAGGTATAATATTTGACGTTGAATAAACGTTTTTCAAAGGAAGTTTTTTAGAAGACGTTGAGAAAACGTTCTTTACAAGAAGTCTTTTTCAAAACGTTTACATAAAGTTATTTTCTAAAGCTTTTGGTAAAATTCACAGATAAAGTCTCGA